AAAACATTTTCCATGGGCAACAGAAAAAATAAGGTTATATAGGCAGAAAATATTTTCCATTTTACAAGGCGAAAAACATTTTCCGGACTAAAGCCTTACCAATATCACCACACCACCATCCACCTTCGTTTCATCACCACCACCACCAAATATAGAAAAATATTTCCTAGAAAACATTTTCTGAAAAAGTGTTCCATAGAAAATGTTTTCTATTTGAGAAGTTTTTCCGCCCAAACAAACACCGCGTAAAGGAGTAAGACATTTTAATTTTTAAGGCAAATTCATTCCTAATAAAATAAACAATGAGAGCAATATCCTTAAAATTTAATTCCAAATCAAGAAAATGTGCTTACTGCATCAGTTTTGCACAACAGCATAAGGAACAACTACTTGTACGACAATCCTCCAATTCTATAATGAAACACACAACTATCTATTATCAAAAGCTTGCAAAGTTAAATCTTAATTTGAAGTTTTGCAATCAACAACTTCAAGTTTTTCTGTTTAATTAGATATGTGTGTGCCATACAGTGTGTGTGCTTGTGACACACAGAGGCGGTGGCGCTGAGATGTTGAAGGAGGAGAGAGAAAGAGCGAAGAGACAGAGAGGCCGCGAGAGTTGGAGAGAGAGAAAGAGAGATACTGAGATGGAGGAAACGGCGTTGCGACAGTGTTCCGGAGGTGATTAGTGCGGCAGCGGTGGCGCTGAGATGTTGAAGGAGGAGAGAGAATGAGCGAGGAGACAGAGAGGCCGCGAGAGTTAGAGAGAGAGAGAGAGATAGGGCACAATCGCTGATACACCATTCCAAAGCCTAGAAAACAAAAACGACACTGTTTTGAATTATAGATTAATTTAATAAAATAAAATACTAAAAAATAAAAATTATTATTACGTTCTATAGGAGGCATAATCTTGGTAAGAGTACTATCCTCTTCTTTCACTCCCATCTGAACTTGTTACAAGATGTTGAAGATATAAAATGCAAAAGTTCAAATAGTTAATAATTGACATAATACCAACAATACTTACCCAAAGCAAAATGCAAAACATAAATCAATAAATAAATATATTATGACCCAACAATGTTTGGAAGCACCAGTAAGATAAATTGTATCTAACGCTCCATTTGTTTGGGCAAAAATATTTTCTAGAAAATATTTTTTGTATTTTCTGATATTTGGTACAATAAAAAATGAAAGTTAACAAAAAACATTTTCCATGGGCAACAGAAAAAATAAGGTTATATAGGCAGAAAATATTTTCCATTTTACAAGGCGAAAAACATTTTCCGGACTAAAGCCTTACCAATATCACCACACCACCATCCACCTTCGTTTCATCACCACCACCACCAAATATAGAAAAATATTTCCTAGAAAACATTTTTTGAAAAAGTGTTCCATAGAAAATGTTTTCTATTTGAGAATTTTTTCCGCCCAAACAAACACCGCGTAAAGGAGTAAGACATTTTAATTTTTAAGGCAAATTCATTCCTAATAAAATAAACAATGAGACTAATATCCTTAAAATTTAATTCCAAATCAAGAAAATGTGCTTACTGCATCAGTTTTGCACAACAGCATAAGGAACAACTACTTGTACGACAATCCTCCAATTCTATAATGAAAAACACAACTATCTATTATCAAAAGCTTGCAAAGTTAATTCTTAATTTGAAGTTTTGCAATCAACAACTTCTAGTTTTTCTGTTTAATTAGATGTGTGTGCCATACAGTGTGTGTGCTTGCAACATAGAGAGAGAAAGAGAGACATGGTGTGGACTTACCGAGATGGAGGAAACGGCATTGCGATAGTGTTCCGAAGGTGATTAGTGCGACGGCGGTGGCGCTGAGATGTTGAAGGAGGAGAGAGAAAGAGCGAGGAGACAGAGAGGCCGCGACAGTTGGAGAGAGAGAGAGAGAGAGAGATACCGAGATAGAGGAAACGGCGTTGCGACAGTGTTCCGGAGGTGATTTGTGCAATGGCGGTGGCGCTGAGATGTTGAAGGAGGAGAGAGAAGGAGCGAGGAGACAGAGAGGCCGCGAGAGTTGGAGAGAGAGAGAGAGAGAGAAAGATAGGGCACCATTGCTGATACACCATTCCAACGCCTAGAAAACAAAAACGACGCTGTTTTGAATTATAGATTAATTTGATAAAATAAAATACTAAAAAATAAAAATTATTTTCACTTTCAATTGTGTTTTTCATTATAGAATTGGAGGATTGTCGTATAAGTAGTTGTTCCTTATGCTGGTGTGCAAAACTGATGTAGTAGGCACATTTTCTTGATTTGGAATTAGATTTTAAGGATATTACTCTCCTTGTTTATTTTATTAGGAATGAATTTGCCGTAAAAATTAAAATGTCTTACTCCTTTACGCGGTGTTTGTTTGGGCGGAAAAAATTCTCAAATGGAAAACATTTTCTATGGAACACTTTTTAAGAAAATGTTTTCAAGAAAATATTTTTCTATATTTGGTGGTGGTGGTGGTGATGAAACGGAGGTGGATGGTGATGTGGTGATATTGGTAAGGCTTTAGTCCGGAAAACGTTTTTCGCCTTGTAAAATGGAAAATATTTTTTGCCTATATAACCTTATTTTCTGTTAACTTTCGTTTTTTATTGTACCAAATATCAGAAAATACAAAAAATATTTTTCAGAAAATATTTTCGCCCAAACAAACGGAGCATTAGATACAATTTATCTTACTGGGGCTTCCAAACATTGTTGGGTCATAACATATTTATTGATTGATTTATGTTTTGCATTTTGCTTTGGGTAAATATTGTCGGTATTATGTCAATTATTAACTATTTGAACTTTTTGCATTTTATATCTTCAACATCTTGTAACAAGTTCAGATGGGAGTGAAAAAAGATGATAGTACTCTTACCAAGATTATGCCTCCTGTAGAACAGGTAATTGCCCATTTGTGTATGTAAGATGATGGCATATTATTTCTTTATGAGTAATACTTTGTGAATATATTGTGAGTAATAACAAGGCTTATAAAAATCGTAATTCTAAATTGAACTAAATTGCATTTTATTAATTTGGTTTCAAATTTTTCAATACTTTAGGCAATGATTTAGTCTTTGGTTTAGTCTTAAACCAAAACAAATTGAACTATACTCACCCTTTAGTGGATAATTGAACAAAATTTAATCGGAAATAGATTCTCTAAATTGTGTTGTTTGTGCCTGTGAACGGGTAAGAAACTACCTCCAATTCAATCTAATTTGAAAATTAAGTATTGTAAGGTGAATTTAATATTTGTCAATCTATAGGAGATGGATTTGGGGTCACTGCTGTGGCTAATGCACAGCAGTGACTGTTGTGTTACATTTTGTGATGCATTATGAGATTATTTTTATGATCTGAACCATTCATTTTGTAGGGTTTGTTGAGTACTTCAAACCTACCAAAAATCATATTAATCGGATACCAATAACTATATGATTGATAACCAAAAAAACAAACTAAGAAGTTTTTCTTTTGAAAAATAGTGTAAAAATATGCAATTTGATCATATAGTTGTTGATATCCGATTAATATGATTTTTGTTAGGCTTGAAGTACTCAACAAATCCTACAAAATGAACGGTTCAAATCATAAAAATAAACCCATAATACATCACAAAATGTAACACAACAGTCACTGCTGTGCATTAGCCACAGCAGTGACCCCAAATCCATAGGAGATGTACTACATCAAAGTGGATATTGAATTATGTGAAAATATTTAATGTATCATCATAAGTAATTCCTCATGATACCTCAAGTTTTTAAGAATAATACTATATGCATTAATTAGTATATTAATTAGTGTAGCAATTGATGATGTGGCATAATTTAAGAAGTTTTTGATATTTGTAATTTATATAATGAGTGAGGTCAATAACTAATGTTGGTACACTAATTAGTATACTAATTGATATATATAATACCACCGAGTTTTTAAATCAATTTTAATGTAGTCGTGTTAATCATTGCAATTACAAAGTGAGCAACAATAATAGAGAATTCTAATTTTAGAGCTCTAAAGAGAGCTCTAGTGAAGTAACAAAAAAAACATAGGCACACACATCACATTACATGTGGGTTCTACTTCTTGTTATATCACTAGAGCTGTTTTTAAGTTCTAAAATTAGAGCTCCCAATCTTTATTCAAAGTGAGAGAACAAAGTTAAATTAAAAAAAAAAAAATGAAGGATAAAAAATGTAATCCCCTTACAATTATATGAGAAAAATAAAATGATAAATTATGTGTTAAGTGAGTAGGTATTTGGTTGAGTTTAGAAAAATAAAAAAACATTTGCTTCAAAAACTAGTTTGGTAAAAAATGAAGAGAGAGAGAAAAAAAAAACTTTCATTTTTATATTATTTTTTTGAAAGTGAAAATAATTTTTATTTTTTAGTATTTTATTTTATCAAATTAATCTGTAATTCAAAACAGCGTCGTTTTTGTTTTCCAGGCTTTAGAATGGTGTATCAGCGATTATGCCCTATCTCTCTCTCTCTTTCCAACTCTGGCGGCCTTTTTGTCTCCTCACTCCTTCTCTCTCCTCCTTCAACATCTCAGCGCCACCGCCGCCGCACTAATCAGCTCCGGAACACTATCGCAACGCCGTTTCCTTCATCTCAGTAAGTCCACACCATGTCTCTCTCTTTCTCTCTTTATGTCACAAGCACACACACTGTATGACATACACATATCTAATCTATGAAGCACGGGTACTCCAAAAATAGTGTCGTATACATACCGGGTACTTACCGGGTGCAGGTACGCGTATCGGGTACGGCAAAAAGTAGTCCGGTACGTTTGGTTCAATCTGGTATGGCTTGAGTACGGCTTGGGTACGTCGGGGTAAAAATTAAATTTTCTGTAGAATTGAGGGGTACCGAAGCAATATTAAGAAAAATAAAAAAGAAAAAGAAAAGAAAGAGTATACACGTTTTGCCCTAATCTCATCACTTTTTCCCTAACTCATCACTTGAGCAACACAGCAGCAAGAGGCGACACAGCAGCAACGAGGCGACGGCGACCCATCCATTCCCTTCGAAGGCCTCCGGCGACGGCGACGCAAGGAGTTCCGGTGAGTGCTCTTCATCATCTTCTTCTTCGTCTTCATCTTCTTCTTCGCCTTCCTCTTCTTTGTTACATCTTCCACCCTCATCTTCTTCGTTTCTTCTTCTTCATCTCATATATATATATATTTTTTTGCAGAGATCAGCAAGCTTCTGTTTTTGTCCCTTGTTGCATCTCTTCGTCTTCCCTCCGGTGAGAAAGTGGTCAGAATTTTTGGGTGCCCCTGCATATCAGCAAATAGCAAGCAAGCAACTGGTCAGATTTTGTTTTTTTGTTTTTTTTGTCCCTTGTTGCATAACTTGTTTTTGTCCCCTGAATAACTGGTCAGAATTTGTTGCATAACTGGTCAGAATTTTTTCCCCCTGAATAACTTGTTTTTGTCCCTTGTTGCATCTCTTCATCTTTAATTTTTTTGTTTTTTTTTCTTGTTTCTTCTTTCTTCTTCAGAGAGGTAGAATCTGATGTAGAACCAAAAAACAATTAGAGAGGTAGAACCAAGTTATTCAATCATATTTAGAACAAAAAAAAATTAGAACAAAAAATTAATAAATTAGAACAAAAAAATTAATAATCAATCGTACTTCCATAATGTTAATAATCAAAAAAATTAATTAGAACAAAATTATAATTAATTAGAAGTTTAAAACAAAGTTATTCTTCAATAGAATGTGAATAATCACAAATATTATTTTTTATGCTTATAGGAAAATGAGTTTATCAAGCAGTTTAGGTTCATCTGCTACAAGTGCTTCTGCTCCTTCCCATGATCAAGCAGTTTAGTTTTGATATTTAATTTTAATTTGTAGGTTGGATCCTTTAACCATAATTATAAAAAATAAAAAAATATTGGCGTACCGCAGCCGTACCTGTATCCTACTTTTTTGGGGTTTTGCCGTATCGGCGTACCCGCACTCGTACCCGCACCCGTGCTTCCTAGTATCTAATTAAACAGAAAAACTTGAAGTTGTTGATTGCAAAACTTCAAATTAAGATTTAACTTTGCAAGCTTTTGATAATAGATAGTTGTGTGTTTCATTATAGAATTGGAGGATTGTCATACAAGTAGTTGTTCCTTATGCTGGTGTGCAAAAGTGATGTAGTAGGCACATTTTCTTGATTTGGAATTAAATTTTAAGGATATTGCTCTCATTGTTTATTTTATTAGGAATGAATTTGCCTTAAAAATTAAAATGTCTTACTCCTTTACGCGGTGTTTGTTTGGGCGGAAAAAATTCTCAAATGGAAAACATTTTCTACGGAACACTTTTTCAGAAAATGCTTTCAAGAAAATATTTTTCTATATTTGGTGGTGGTGGTGATGAAACGAAGGTGGATGGTGGTGTGGTGATATTGGTAAGGTTTTAGCCCGGAAAACGTTTTCCGCCTTGTAAAATGGAAAATATTTTCTGCCTATATAACCTTATTTTCTATTGACCATGGAAAATGTTTTCTGTTAACTTTCGTTTTTTATTATACCAAATATTAGAAAATATAAAAAATATTTTCCAGAAAATATAAAAAATATTTTCCAGAAAATATTTTCGCCCAAACAAACGGAGCGTTAGATTCAATTTAGCTTACTGGAGCTTCCAAACATTGTTGGGTCATAACATATTTATTGATTGATTTATGTTTTGCATTTTGCTTTGGGTAAGTATTGTCGGTATTATGTCAATTATTAATTATTTGAACTTTTTGCATTTTATATCTTCAACATCTTGTAACAAGTTCAGATGGGAGTGAAAGAAGAGGATAGTACTCTTATCAAGATTATGCCTCCTATAGAACAGGTAATTGCTTTAATATCTACTTGCAGCTATAAAAATGCTTGTTGTAATGACCATACGAAAATCAATTGATTGTAATCTTTGTTGTACTCATCATCTTTTGTACTTCCAAAAAGTGAGTCCACAACCAATTTTGCAGGACAAATATTCATAGATATTGGTTTCTTCATATTAACCTACTTTTGCAGCCTATTGTTCTTTCACTTTGGTTTCACTTTTTAAGTACCTGTAAGATGCCCAGCAGATTTGTTATTTCTGCCTTTTGTTTTCATTTCCTTTAACTTTTAGGGTGCTAGGGCTGATTATCTTTGGACATTTTATTAGTCATTCTGATTGACTAATAGAGTCTAGCATAAGATCTATATGTACCTCTCAGTAATTTTTTCTATGTTTACGTTTGTTTAGCATGATAATGCCCAAATTTATAGAATGCATGAACAAATTTTGGTTTGCAGGAGATTAATGACGAGATAAATATGAGAGTAAAAAAGTACCTTAGAGGTGAAGGTGCTAATTTGGAGGTATGACACTTGTGTTTGAGATTCTTAGGCACTTGTATTTCTTTCTTCTTCTATTGCCCTGAAAATCATATACATTTGCAGGGTTTACGAGATAAAAAATTGAAAGGTCAGCTTGCTATTAGAGAAGAATTATATGGAAAATCTGCAAAGGCTGCTGCCAAGGCTGAGAAGGTGATTTTTATGTGGTTTGATGTTCAATCAATTGATTAAGTTCTTTTCTCTACTTTTTAAGTCTTACATAATTTGTAGGTTCACGTTCATCTAATCCTCATAATGGCATCTGCTGTGTTTTTTCCTTCTCTTTTTTTTCTTGTTTCATTTGGTAACCCTTTTTATAAAAACCATGTTGTGTGGTACTAAGCTCTGATGGTATTCTATACAATTGTGTTGCAGTCTTTCTGATCATCATTCCCAAACTCACAAAGAAAAAAAAAAATTGGGTTTCAGTAGACGTTAGATTGTACCATATTTGTAGTGCAAATATATATTGATGTGCGATTGTTTTGTGTAGTGGCTGATGCCAAGTGAGGGGGGCTATTTAGAGGCTGAAGGTATAGAGAAAACATGGAGGATCAAACAGGAGGCAATTGCTCGTGAAGTAGATATCTTAAGTTCAAAGAATCAATATGATATTGTCTTACCAGGTTGACAGCTTCAGTCTAATTGTTTCAAAATACTCTCTCAAGCATCATTCATAATTTTTTTGATGAACCTGTTAGTTAGAAACCCTTTGCATATTAATCTTTCATGTGTCCTTATAGAATACTAAGGCTGTGTATGTTGGCATTTAGTTGATTCAAGAAATAGACATAACTGAATTCAAGAAAGCCTTGTCCCAAAACCATTTGGGTTGGCTATATGGATCCTGTTTCACCGTTCCCTTCTAGCTATAGCGATCCATTATCTTTTGTGAGACCAGTCTCTGATGAGCAAAAGTTTTGGTTCTCTCTCTCATGGTTGTCCATAAACTATCCCGGACATATAGAATTGTTATCTTTTTACATTACATTTGCTAATTTTTTTATGTTTATTTTTTTTTTAAATTTTCATTTTATAATAGAAACCTAACATCAATAATCTGTTTGCACAGATCTTGGTCCATACACTCTGGATTTTACCTCAAGTGGTCGGTATATGGCACTTGGAGGACATAAGGGCCATTTGGCTATCATTGACATGAAAAATATGGGCCTTATTAAAGAATTTCAAGTATGTCACCGCCCTCAAAATTGAGCTAAATCTTTTCATAGTGGTTGGATCTGATATAGAATCTTAGAGTTCTAATCATACTATAAATATTGCTTTTTATTTTTTTTGATGCATCTAATACAATTCTATTGATTGTGATTCTGAGTCATTGAGGTGCTTATCTGTATCAATATATACAAATTTGAGTTTCTAATGCTTGGCTCTTTTAGGTTAGGGAAACAGTGCGTGATATGGCCTTCTTGCACAATGAACTGTTCTTTGCTGCTGCCCAAAAGAAGTAAGGCCCCAATCTCTTGACAAAAAACGTTATGTGATTATAGAAATGTCATTTGTAGAAATGACTCTTTGAAGATTTACAGGTGTTTGTATGACAAGCTATAGATGCATGAATTTCTCATTATTTGTGCTGCTAATTTGCTGGATGTCACTTTGTATGTAAACAAAGAATTTACACCTAGAAGTCATCATTGTTCTATCATCCAAAAGAAAAAGGTTATCATTGTTACATTTCCGAGGATTATGAAACTGCTGATTATATTCTAATCCTTTTTAATGTTGAAACCTCAAACAGGTTACTCTTGGATTAAAAAACGGAAACCCTTCCAGTCTAATGCTTTCCCGACCCACACATCTGCTTTCTTCCTCTTTTTCTTCAACAAAATTGCTTATAATTTTCCATTCAAAGAACTAATGAATATGTCAATCTTGGACTCCCCATGTAGACTAGTTGGAATTTAAAATACTTATTTATTTTTCTTGATCCATCTTTGTGGTAGCATTTGATGTAATTTTCAACTCTTTTATTTGTAATTCATATGAGGAAAATGGCAAGGGAAAAAAAAAACTGCAAGGGAAGTATACTCGGCCTATGGTTTTCTTTTTGCCCTAAGGTGGATGGAATAGAAGGAAGTGAAGAAGGGACCTTCTAACCCCTTGTAACACTTTTTTGATCAGCCAATCCCTTATATAACACTGTTATGTTGATATGTATTTGTATGATGGTGAAATAAAGTAATATCCCTTGCCTTTCCCCCCTACTTTTCATCCTTTAAACACATTCTAAAGGAAGCCATCCAGGGTTATCTATTTCTCTCTTTTCTTTTCTTTTTCATTTCAGAAGCCAAATCCAGCTGTGTTAATAAAAAATATCTACTCAAGTTGTTGCAAGGATTATTTTGCTCTAAAAGCAATGTATGTTGCATGGTCAATGGTGCTTTGCCATAAAGAATGCTGTTCCTGTGACAGGTACCTGTACATTTATAACCGGCAAGGCACGGAACTTCATTGTCTGAAGGTCAGTATTCTGGGCTGAAGTTACTTGTATGTGCCATTGTTGACTATGCTATGGTTTTTATGATTCTTGTGGCATGCTGGAAACTAGCTGCAGTGCATTTTTCACCTTGTGTTTCTCTTTCCATATTTCATGGCAGTCTGAATTATGCCTTCGAGAGGAACATATATTATAGTCTGTCTAGATGATAATTAGGAAAACCTTTCTTTTAAAACACAATTGCAGGTCCTTAAAAAAAGTTTTATCTTAATATCAATCTATGCTTAGATATCTCATAATTGCTGTGGACTTCATACTAAGTCTGTGGTTCCACAAGCATGAATGAATTGGTTTCATTGGCTGCTTCCCACTTTCTGGAGACGGTGATATTGTTCTAGTGTCTGACATGGTTCTAAATATCCTTGTAAGTTCCTAGAGCTTTTGTTATTTCCTGTTTAGAGCAAGCAAAGATAGGATTTATACCCTTGAAGTTGATGTCAAGCCGCTGAAGTGGTTTTGTTGTCCCTCATTTTCCACTATGAAATAGTAAGGATACTGCTATAACCTATCAAAGTTATGTTATGGTTCAGAGTAAGATATTTGGTAGAAGCTATTAATACTTCAGAGCAGTTTGCTTTTCGTTATTGAACTTGAATGCTATCCAAATCAGAACCAATTTGAATCTACTTTGATACATTTAATTAACATAGTTCATTTGGTCTAAGCTTTAGTAGGAAGTTGAGGTCTAATCTTACCATACAATATATTGGTTATCACTGACCACTTCACTATCTTTGCACTGGTAATAAAACATGTTATTGATGGGCTCATATAGTGCTCCTTTGTATTACCTGTCCATGTTAGTGCATATACAGGCCTCAAGTACCTCAGTGACAAACCATACTCGTAATCTAGGTGGAATGCCTGTGTTAATATGGTATAGATGACAGAAATTTAATTGGAAGCATTTGGTTTCATGTACGCGTCAATCTGATTGGGGCGATTGGGCTGCCTTTGATTACTTTTTTTTCCTGAATGCTTTGTACCTAATTGAGATTTTTTAAAATGCATTGTGGACCTCAACTTTTTTTGTTCTTTACCATTGTGTCCTTTAGGAGCATGGTGCAGTATTAAAACTCCAATTTCTGAAGAACCATTTCCTCTTGGCTTCCATAAACAAATTTGGGCAGCTCCACTATCAAGATGTTACTACTGGTGGGATGGTAGGTAATTACCGGACTCGTCTAGGCCGTTGTGATGTGATGCAAGTGAATCCCTTCAACAGTGTTGTTGCTTTGGGCCATTCAAATGGTACAGTAACCATGTGGAAGCCTACAAGTCCCACTCCCCTCGTCAAGATGCTGGCTAATCACGGGCCTGTTTCAGCTTTAGCCTTTCACTCTAACGGCCATCTCATGGCAACGGCTGGTATGGATAAGAAAATAAAGCTTTGGGATTTGAGGAAGTTTGAGGTTCTTCAAACTTTACCTGGCCATGCCAAGACATTGGATTTCAGTCAGAAAGGTTTGCTTGCTACTGCCACCAGCTCTTTTGTACAGATTTTGGGAGATTTCTCTGGATCTCAAAATTATAGCCGTTATATGGGTCATTCCATGGCAAAAGGTTACCAAGTAAATAAAGTGTTGTTCCGACCATACGAAGATGTTTTGGGCATAGGGCACTCCATGGGTTGGTCATCGATTATTATTCCTGGATCTGGAGAGCCCAACTTCGATTCTTGGGTGGCAAATCCGTTTGAAACATCTAAACAGCGGAGAGAGAAAGAAGTGCGCTCTCTTCTTGACAAGCTCCCACCAGAGACAATTTTGCTGGACCCCACAAAGATTGGTACAGTGAAACCAACGAGGAAGAGAGAGAAGCCAAGCAAGCAGGAGAGAGAAGCAGAGATGGAAGCAGCCATTGGAGCTGCCAAGAGCATTACCCAGAAGAATAAAACCAAAGGCAGGAACAAACCGAGTAAGAAAGCAAAGAAGAGGCAGGAAGGAATCGAGAGAGCCAAAAAGCCTTTCTTGGAGCAACAAATGGAGGAAGAAGAATCATCTAAAAAGAAAAAGCAGAAGATCAGTGAGGAAAGGGAACTACCAAAATCTTTGCAGCGGTTTGCTCGCAAGAAAGCTACTTCATGATTGTGTTAGATCATGGAACAGAAATCTTGGAGAGGAGACTTATCTAACTTAGTCTGAGATGCTTCAGTGCATTGAAGGATTACTTCAGCTGCCTTTTTCTTCAGCTGCCTTTCCCTGCTCCCTTTATCTTTTCTGCTCTACAACCATTTTCATTATAATTAAACGGAGTGTTATTATTTGTTAGAGCTTTTGTTGTTCGCTTCACTGTGCTTGATGATGATGGGGGGTCCAACCTTTCTTAATTCTTTTAAGAATCCTTTATTTTGTGGTTGATATGCAAGATGCATGTTTGCATATATATGATTACTAAACAAACCACTTATCCAATATATATATTATATGGAGCATTTGCTTAAACAAATATATTTCTAGCTTTACGTCCAATAAGTGAGTATTTAACTATGTTTCATGATTCATGGACAAGTGATGCAATATTTTATTTCTTTAATGTTTGATAGGGAAGAATTTACATAAACTTTTCCATGAACAGGCAATGCATTATTCTAACAAAATGGATGGATGCATACACCAACAAATGTTGTTTCATGATTCACCGACAAGTGATGGAATATTTTCTTCCTTGATAAGGAAGAATTTGCATAAAACTTTTCTTGGATTTGCATTGCATATATTCTAACAAAAATGGATGGACCCATACATCAACAAATGCTGCACAAAAATTTTTAATTAATGAATTATTGTTGGTTCCATCTTCAATGAGAGATTATGTTTGTCACTCTTCCTACTGGCATTTATTGGTATCTGTGCCGTAATTTATTTTTGTTGATGGTGTTAGGTATTATTAACTGTTTTTCTTTGCAGTAAAAACATCAGTTCCGAGCTGTAAGTGCTGCAAAAAAAAATGTTTGTTGCTTGACGAGGATTTGATTTAATTTTTACTAACTTTTGCTAGTTTCTTCTTCTTTTTCCTTTTTTTCCCTATGTACATCCTAGTGCATGGTTCTGTCAAGTGTCTAGTTTAATTTGTTTGACTGATAGACAAGGTTGAAACTCTAGATCACATACTATTTTAAGGTTATGTTTGGATGTTGGATCTATGAAGGACATGTGAACGGATTAGAAATGGTAAGAGATAAATGAAAGAAATATAAGATTTTTTTTCTACTTATTCTTTTCATTTTTTTTTTTCTTCTACAAATTTATGATCCAAGCACAACTTAAAAGCATGACCATTGTTGCTTTTAATTTGAGAAGAAGTTACGAAATAAGATAAAGACTACGGTGTGCTGGTGAGTGATGGTGGTTGTGTTGTGCTTGATAAGAGGTGACGAAGGTGGTGGTAGATTGGTGGCAGTGGTAGTAGACAAATAGTTATGGTGACTACGATAGTGGACTATTATTGGGGTGATGGTGGAAACAACAATAATGGAGTGATGATGGCGGCGGCACTAGTATAGTAATGGTAATGGCGGCGGCATGACCATTGGTCTCTAAAAGTAAAAATTTTATTGCAAAAGACATTTAGAGACCAATTTCTATCATCATGAGAATAGTCGCTAAAAGGTTATCTCGAAAAATTAAAAATAAGGCTTCTAGTGACAAAATTTTGAAAATGTCACTAATAAATAGACTTTTAGGGACAAAATAATCTGGTCTCAAAATGGTTTATTTTTTGAGACAAAAAATTTAGTTCTAAAAGGATAATAATTCATCACCAATGTCCAATTTTTGTTGCTAAAAATATAATAATGACACTTTTCGTAACAAAATTATTTGGTCTTTAAAAAATATTTTTGCTCCTAAATTTTAGTCTCTAAAACCTTAATTTATTTATTTATTTTTTTTGTAGTGTTAGATGTGGTGAAGGTGGGGGTGGTAGTAGGTTTGTAGCATTAGTAGTGCTAGGGTGGAGTGATGGTGATGATGGTGGTAATAGCGAGGATAATGGTAGTGTAGTGACATTGGTGAAGTGGTGGTAGTGGCATTGATAATGGTGGTCCAGTGGTAGCGGAAGTGAAAAAAGTAAGGTGATAATGTGGTGGTAGTGGTTATATTATTGGTGATGGCGGGGGTGCAAGGGTTGCTTTGAGAACTTGGGTAGTGGTAGCAGACTGGCAAATCGGCAATGGTTGTGGTTTTACTTTAACAATGACTTAAGCATAAGCAGATGAAGATGCATTAAGAAAAAATCTTTAGCAAGTTTAAAATTTTAACTCACATTTGAAGTGATATTTAAATTTTTACAAGTGATGTGAATTGTGGTTATATTTAATTTGTTTTCTTTCAATACATTTAGTTTGATGTGAAATGTGGTTATATTTAATTTATTTCTTTCAATACATATTTAGTTTTCACTGATAAAAGTTATCAAACACATTGGAGATGTTTTTTAATAATTGACTTGAATTTTAATTGAAAGAGACTTATGACTTAGATGCTAACTATTGTGAACGGAAGGTGGTTTTAAATCAATTTTGAATTTGTGATATGGTAGCCCGTGATTGGCTTTGTGAACTCCATCTCATTTAGCATGAAGCTAACAACAGTGCGGATTTTCTCGCAAAGGATGCTCTTCACTGTTATGCTCAACGTGAATTTCTTGATGTAGCCCCCTTGGCATTATCTAGTTTGATTGAGGATAAGCAAGAATCATGTTTCCTTGAACCTCGTGTTTAGCTCTGGCTTCGGCCCTTATTTTAAACCAAGCTCCAAGAAGAAAAGTTATGTAACCACATTTCACAACAAGCAGTTCTAGTAAGAGATAATTAAAGCTATATACTCACGATTCTTCCAAGTCAATAACTTTAATAGCAACCACTTTGTTAAGCTCATTATCAAACCTGCAAATCAAGAAAGCTATTACCTTAATATGCAAACAGATTATCAAATTATGTCAGAGAGATTTGATCTTCAGACGATGAACTTCAACAACAGAACGCACTTTTCAGACGATGAGAGAGATCTGTTTATGAGAGATCTGATTTCAATGGAATCGGATTAGGCAAACAAACGGATTGGATCGGATTTATCCGAGTCCGACCCGTTTAAAATCGGGCTACACAGATACGGGTTAAACAGATATTCGGATTCGGATTTGCATAAATGGACCGGATTAATCGGATCGAATTCGGATCGGATTCAGGTTATACCCGATCCGTTGACAGGCCTACTTCACTGTTATGCTCAACGTGAATTTCTTGATGTAGCCCCCTCGGCATTATCTAGTTTGATTGAGGATAAGCAAGGATCATGTTTCCTTGAACCTCATGTTTAGCTCTGGCTTTGGCCCTTATTTTACCCCCCAAAAAAAATTTGAAATTTTAGTTCTATCAATTCAACACATTTTTTTAAAGTATTTGCTGAACTGAAGTGTAAATTTTTTTATTTTTATTATTAAATGACTTTTGAATGCTTGACATGTCTGTTTTAATCCTTTGGCATGGTAAGTTCGAATGTGTAATTTTCTCTTCCCACATGTGACAATTTTCAGCTCCTTTATTTTGTGTTGAGAACTATGTTGCAAAATTTGCCATTTGCTTCTTTTATCTAATTCATATTATGTATAACGACCATTGAGCAGTGCTTAAAAGATTAGAATAAACTTCCATATACATAACATGATTTCCAAACATAACTTATATGCATAGGAGTCATTAATATTAAGTTTACATATACACAAACCCATTTGACAAAAAGCAAACAAAAGACTTAAACATAAATTATAACACCAAAAAGATAAAAGCTCCATCTTGGAGGTTTGGTATAACAGGTCCACATAGACAGTTCTTGAGGCTAATTCTAAGGCTGATCTCCCTGCTGACCACCTACATACATATAAAATAAGGAGTAAGCGAAGCTCAATGAATAATAACAGTGTAACGGGTTAATATATGAGTTTGAACCATCGAACATATTTAACATAAATAATAAATTTTCGAAAGTAAAAGCGATCCATTGTTTTCAAAGTGTCTCATAGTTTTCATAGTTACCTTTGTTCTCAAGATCATACATTATAATGGTTCATATCAAAGTATCTCAGGTCCTACACAATATAGTTTTCTTTAAATATAATCAATCAACACATAAGCATTCGTTCATGAACAGTAAAAGTACTTGGAACAACAGTCCTAGTATGCTGAGTGTTTTCTGGGACGAGTGCAATTACTCTATCTTGGCTAGCAATTTCATTTGTTGTAACAGGTCTTGCCATTGGTACAAAACCAACTAAGGTAGCGGATCCATTCACATTTTGTTCAATCCGGGGACAATCCCTTACCTTATGACTCATTTCGCCACATCTACAACAAGCTTCGGAAAGTCAATAACAAATCCCCCACATTCTGAACAAATCAGTATTGAATCATTTCTTTGATTGAATTTATCTTGCCTAGATATTTCTAATTTCCATTTCTTATTTTTCATGAATTTTTTGTTCACATTAGAGCTTTGCTTCTTTCTTTTCCATTCTAGAAATCAGTTCATGTTGGCCACAGATATCAAGGCAAGGTCTAACACCTTTTGCTGTCTTAAGGCCTCTGCTATTTCTTCTACTATTCTTTCCAGTTGAGAGGAGGTAGACTCCTCCAATTCGTCCACCCTTGTTTTCACCATTTTGCTATATATATAACATACATCAACAATAGAGTTGCACATGTAGGTTCACGTAAATCATATAACTTTCATGTTCATATGTTCATGTTCACATAAGTCACACATTCAATATTGATATCAATATCAAAATTACACATTAATTCACATAACTTTTTTTTTTTTTGGTTCACACTCATATCACATACTCACATAGGTTACTTCTCACGCTAAGATTAGAAATGTACACATGGTTACATAATTTCCATGTTCATGCTCAAACAATAATCATATCTACCCATATATTCTCATATACTTCATACTCAATAAGAAGCTTAGGAAAGCACGCTTGTATTTAGATCTTGCATTCTTATGTTCACATAAAGATCATGGATTCACATTTTAACTCATACACTTGTAACACAAATACAAACGGTCCTAACTCTTTTCTAGATTCTTTATTGCTCAAATGGACCAGTGTGTGAGTTATTAATTCGTGCTCTGATACCACTCTATGATGACCCAAGCTCGTCTCTAAAAGCTTGGTTCATAGCCAGCTAGCAATCACACGATTACCTACGGCCTCATACAGAAAACAAATATTTTTAGTATTGGGGCCTTAAGTGGAAACAAATATTATGTATAATATCCATTGAGTAGTACTTAAAAGATTAGGATAAACTCCCATATACATAACATGATTTCCAAACATAACTTATATACATAGGAGTCATTAATATTAAGTTTACATATACACAAACCCATTTGACAAAAACCAAACAAAAGACTTAACATAAACTATAACACCAAAAAGAGAAAAGCTCCATCTTGGAGGCTTGGTATAACAGGTCCACATAGACAGTTTCTGAGGCTGACTCTAAGACTGATCTCCCTACTGACCACCTACATACATATAAAATAGGGAGTGAGCGAAACTCAATGAGTAATAACAGTGCAAATGGACAGTGTAAAGGGTTAATATATGAGTTTGAACTATCGAACATATTTAACATAAACAATAAGTTTTCGGAAGTAAAAATGATCCATAATTTTCTTCACATTCAAATTTGGCATTCGGTCTCGGGATCAACATGTTATGGAACGACCTCGGGCTCAAACATTCAAAATGACCTCGGGTCCAATTATACAGAACGGCCTTAGGCCTAAACATTCAAAATGACATCGGGTCTAATTATACAGAATGCCTCGGGCCCACATATAACAAAACGACCTTGGGTCCAATGTGCAAAACAGCCTCAAACCCACATATAACAATACGGCCTCAAGCTCACATATAACAAAATGACATCGGGTTCAATGTGCAAAACGGTGTCGAGCCCACATATAACAAAATAGCCTCGGGCCCACATATAACAAAACGACCTCGGGTCCAATGTATAATTCATCTACCTTCATTTTATAACATTCGTACAATACTTTATAACATTCATTAATCGAAACTCATTCGAGTCATATCAGAATACAATTTCAGAAGTACATATACATATATAACATTCATATTGTTCTAAAAGAATAATTAAGAACATATTTTTACAAACTTATAACTCACAGTGCGTTTGGTCTTGCGCCGTTCCCTCTGACACACGACCTACACAACATTTCACACATACACATTTGATAAATAATACGTTCCATTTCGTACACTTTTTTTTAATGATTCACATCATTTTTCAATGGGTTTCTAATCATCACTTCATTTTCCAGAGTGTTTACATAAGGTCAAAAATGCGTTCAGAAGGTCAGAAAGGTCAACAAAAAGAAAGCAGAATTTTCCCCATGCTGTCCGTTCATGTGGAAGGCCTCACCGCTCGAGCGGTCATGTTCCGCTCGTGCGGAAGTGTTAGCCACTCGAGCAAGCAGAATGCATTCCCTTGTTTTGGTTCATGTTCCGCTTGTGTGGAGCTCGCAGCTGCATGAGCGATCTGGGCGAAACCAGACAGTCCGAAAATGAGGTTTTGAAACCAAGTTTCCAAACCCAAATGCAAGCCTAAATTCATGCAAAACTAACTCAAAAATATGATTTACTAACATTTTATAAGTGTAATTCCAACTCAAACATATCAATCTTGCTTAAAGTTCAAAATCAAGGTCTCATTTTTTTCATAAATTCAAGAGTCACGTGATCAAGTTCAAAATACATATCCATGGATAATCCTTACACAAATCTTTGTTATATGAACAATCTAGAGCTTATCTCATGATGTATTCACAAGATTGAACTCAAATCAAACAAAGTTGAAGAGATCAAGGCTCAATTTCTTAAATTTAGTTCAAATAATCACACAACCCAAAACCCTAACTCATATAGGCTAAAATCTCTAAATTCCTTTTGATTTCAAACAAAAGATGAGTTATTTACAAGGATTCTAGATAGATTTTCATACCTTAGCTCAAATCTAGGAATTTTTTCCTTGAATCTCTTCCAAATCTCTAGCTTTCCTTCTCAATTCTAGAACTCTTTCCTCTCTCTCTCTCTCTCTCTCTAACTCTCTAGAAAGAGTTCTTCATAAAAGATGATCTCTATCAAAGTTTCATATGTATTAAGCAAATTGCCCACTTTTTTTTGCCATAAAGCAATGTGATACGATTGTGTAAGCTAATTACAATAGATAATAGGTAACCATTGAAAAAGCAGGAGCATTCTCCTGTATGCAATGCACACCATATGCAACCTTATCACAAAATTATGCAAATTTTTACAAACTTGCATAACTGATCTTACAAAAATGCGTAAGTTAAACACAAATTCGCGCAAGTCTATTCATAAAACCGAACTTACATGAATTTGTGTTTAATTTATGCATTTTTGTGAGATCACTTATTTAAGCTTGTGAAAACTTACGTAATTTTGTGGTATGATTGCATATGGTGTGTAATGCACACTGACGCATTACCTGTGAGAATTAGATTATTTTCTTGAAATGCAATATTTTTAACATGACAATATCACTATACAATTTGAGGAATAAGAATACATTTGTTTGTTATATTTATTTATTTATTTGCCGATAAAAAAAAAATGGTGTGTCTGTTGTTTTGTTTGATTGCCTTTGCTTGTTCTTTTGTTGTTTTGGTGGCCATGTTGGCTCTTGCTTTCCTGTCTTTTGTTAGGTTTCTCACCAAACTCGGCCTTTTGCCATAACATGATTGGGGCATTCATATCAATGCCAATTTAATTGGAATGGATTTGTTTCGCTATGATTTTTTTGCACTTGGTCTCTCCTTTATTGTTGTATTGTTGTTGTAATTGCCTCGATGATGTTTCAATAAAGGGTTTTTTTTTTTTGATAAAAAAAAAAAAGTTTCATCTGAATTGTTGCTTGGTGAAAAGAAAAGGAAGCTATTTCAACACCAAGTTGCTAATATTTTTACAGAGCTATTAAATGGTTCATTTTTCTCTTTTAACCCTAAGAATTATAAGATGAGCATGCTAAAGTTTTAAGTGATTTGTTTAGTGAGCCAACATGAATTTGTTAAAAAAAGAAGAAGATAGCACTACTATAGTTTGGTTTCCCTATAATGAATTTGGAAATAATAAACAAGCCCTCCATGCCACACTAACTATGAATTACAGCAATGAATTTAATCAAAAAATAATATATAAATTGGATTTATGTAGTAATTATGTTTATTAATGTTCCAGTTAGCATTTTCATTGATAATAACATCATACACTCTTATTAATTCACTCTTTTTTTTTTTTGATCGACAAAACAAATCTTTATTGATGGGATCATACGAATTATGAATGAGTACATCAATAAACAAATCTTTATTAATTCACTCTTGGCTTAGTAGCCAAGGATTTTACCATTGTATGAAGCAATGCCCTTGGCCAGTATGGTTCGACACATGTAAAAAAATTATAAAATGTTTTTTTGTTTGGGTGTCTCTTTACCGCTGGCATTTATCCACTATATGCATTAATTTTTCATCCTTACAGTTATTTTTATTTTTGTTTTTGGCAGTCTGATTAATCTATTGCTTGGAGCCCATATTTGCAATGCAAAAATGTAATTTTAAGCAGACGAGTGGTGTTTGCTGATGTCTTCCTAGTTGATCGTGATATTGTAGGCATTTCTCAACGAGCGAGAATTTCACAGGTCAGTTGAATTCAGGTTTTGAAGTTTTTTGCATCCATGTTAAGTTTGAAGCTTTTCATTTTTTTTTCCTCCTGCAAAATCTCTAGTCCAGACTAGTTTTATTTTTCCTTTCTTTTGTGTGTCATTGCTCATTTTTTTTTACTTCCAGTTCTCACTTCCATTTTTAGTTCATTTAGGGGTGAATTACATTTTTATAGTTGATGAAGGGATCAAAATGTGTAGGTTCATAGATGAGAGGGATAAGGATAAGCTAATATTCGCTAATAGTCAAGGGATTCTTGATGTAATTAACTCTACATTTAATCAAACACATTGCCTCAAAATAAGGAAATGGTTAACTGGGGGGAAAAAAAAGAAAAGTGAGATTGGTTATTTGCCTAAATGAGTGCCGTTAAGTTGATTCTCTTCATTTCTTTGGCAATGTTTGGTTCACTAACTGCTTTTTGGCAATAATAAAATTGATATTCTTCGGCATCCCAATAGAATGTTCATTCTCCTAAATAGGTGAATGGTGTTTATTTGCCTAAATGAGTACACCATTAAGTTGAGTATTTCATTTATTAGATAGTGTTTGATTCACTAGAATTGTAATTTTTTTTTTTGATCGGCAAAAAGAAAACTTTATTGATGGAAAGGAAAATTACATCAATAAAGTGGAACTTGGAGCTAAAACAAGCACCAACCTCCAAGTTGGTGAGAAACCAACGAGCAAACACAACAAAGAAAAAACCAGAAAAAACAGAAAGCTTAGGCACTACAATCACCAAAAATGAATTCCCACAGCTCAAACATAGCAAACCAAACCCACTCATCTCTATTAATATGTGATGGGGTAACAGCCAAAACATGATATTCTCCTTGGAGTATATAACAGCATCAGACCCACTATGTGTACCAAATCTCATAACCAGCATGCACCTACCCCCATCTACCAACAGCAGACCAATATTGAATTAAACTGCAAAATTCCAGCAAGAGTCAACCTGGGAGCTAAGAACAGAGATAGACTTCCCAAACAACACAGCCCATTAACCCTTTGCCTTCAGCCTTCCCACTATAGCAGACCAGAAATCATCAACTTCCAAAATTGCTAAGCCTAGTTACTCCACACAGCACAACCCTCAGATGGATTGGCCCCCAGCTGAATCAATTAACTTCAGCAGCTGGCAGAAGAGGATGGGGAGAGCACCTTTCCTGTCCACAGCAAACCAGTGCACAGTCAACAGCTACCCACTACTACAACACCATTGTCTACCACCAATTCAAACTACCTAATATGTGTTAACCATCAGAAGCAAAAACTCCAACTGCACGCCAGCCATACTGCATTCAGAGCATAACAAACTATTCTTTCTCCCACACAGATCAACCAGTACAGACCATTTCATCACACCGGCATTTGAAACCTCCTCTGCTTTACCCCACCAGAGCTGTAGAAAGTCACAAAAACCCATTCAATATGCTGCAGAAACTCCTAAGCCAAGCATCTTCTGATCTGTTGCAAATTATGCACTAGGTCATTGACAGTGAAGTTCAGAGCTGGGACATAAGACTTAATCCACAAAGCAATTCGAACCTCAATAGATTCACACAAAGCTAGAAAATTAGGCTCCACCCCATTGAACACCGAGTCATTCCTCTGTTTCCATATGGACCAGAAAATAGCATATGGAATTACACTCCACAGCTTCTTTTCCAATTTCCTCATGCTACAACCCGACCACCACTGAATCACACTTTGAACAGAACCTGGTGAAGCCCATTGCCACCCCCACCTTCTGACAAAATAAGACCAGATCAGCCACACACGAGGGCAGTGAAGTAACACATGGTTAATAGTTTCCTCCTCTTCTTTGCAAAAAATAACATAAAGATAAATCTGATTAATCCATTCAATTACGTTAATCTCAAATCAAGTAGTCAAATCTCTATATTTGTATTCTATTCATGCGAGAGATTTATAAAAGGAGCCCACATACAATATAGATTTAGACTTCATAAGAGTGAATTCGTAACATGTGTGACAATGAAAACAAAAGAGAATAAAGCAACAAAATAAATGCCCCAAGGGCTACAAGTTCCAAAACTTAAACCCGGTTATACAAAAATGGTTATACACCTATACAAATAAATATTGTATAAAATGTGTATTTAAATAAAAATAAACAAATTCATGTTTAGTTAATTTAAATTACAGAATAAGGAATCATGAAACTAAATCATACTAGAGATTACAACTTGGTGAACAGGAATATATATATATATATATATATCAAAATAAATTATTGATATAAGACAAGAAAGCACATCGAAGCCTATGTGATACCACAATCTCCTTAAAACAAATTCGCCGCCTCACCGTGGGTGCTGGAGGTATGTCGGTGTCTGTCTCCCAAGATACGACAGTTTAGAACCCGCTATGTCAAAAGCACCTTCTAGTTAGCTCCGGCAAACTAATAATGACAGTACTCTCTCACACAGGAAGAAAATTATAGGAGCAAATTGACTGTATAATCTGAGAGTAAAAATTTTGTATTGAAAATCAAAGAAATTGGTCTCCTTTTATACACAATGGGGGAGAAATGAGGAGCCTCCCAACCATGATGGCTAGCAACAAATGTAGCCAAAACTACCTAATTGCTCCTGCAAAACTGATGGGGAATTAGCATATAAATTATACACTCTATATATAAATGCGTGTATATCTGCAGCTACCACTTTGACCTAGTCCCAAAAACATTAGGTTGATGGGGCACCAATTTGGCCTAGCCCAAACCTAATCCATTTCAACAAGCCTCAAGCCTCAATCCACGACCCACGGACCCGGACCAGGACCAGTCTCGGCGGGCCATGCGCGTACATGGCAATTTTTGTTTAACCAACTTGGACCATAGTTTTGGCCCAAACCCATCCTTGAAGTATAGCGATTCTAGTTTAAACTCGACCCGTTTGTTGTTTTGGATCCAGGAGTCCTTGTCTTATTTGGTTGTTCATGTCTTTATTCATCTATTTCCTCATTGAGTTTGGTTATTGGAGTGTTATTGTTGTGTTTGGAACAGGTTGAGAGTTAGTTTTTCAAAATTGTTACTGCCCAAGTTTTGGCCTGTTCGCTTGAGCAAGCTTTCTTGTGCTCGAGCAAACTTTGAGAACTTCTAGTACTTTTGTAGGTCTGCAAAACTACTGAGAGTGCGGTGTTTTTAACTCAAGCAGTTTTTCTTGCACTCGAGCGGTCTTGGCTCGAGCGGTTAGCTTCTATTTGTAAAACTTCTAGGAAGGTGTCATTTTGCACTTGAGCGGTCTCACTTATTGTGTTTGGTCGCTTGAGCGGTGTTCTGGTTACTCGAGCAGTCTACACATATATAAGTCCGTAAAAGTCACTTTTTAGGTCACTTTTTAATTTCTCTCTCTTGAAACGTTTCAAAAACCTAGATCTACTCTCTCTCTCTCTCTCTAAAACTAATATTTTAGCTTCAAATACACCTTGATCCATTGATCTTTACACTCTAA